ATGTGAGAACCACCCTCAAACAGAGGGAAGAACTCGCACAGGAAGATGAAAATGTAATGCATTAAAATGGTGCACATTTGTAGAGCTTAGGTAATCAAAATGAATAGAGTTGTATGCTCTTCCATTTGTAATAATGTTCGAAGTTTTTAACTTAAAAGAATTAGAGTATTGCTTTGGGAAAAAGAAAAGGATTGATTGGCCAACCAAAGAAGCCAATTAGATTTTTTTTTTCTTCTTAAAAAGGGACAATTGGTGCCAAGCCACAGTTATTCACCTCTTTCGGGGGTTGGAAAAACCCATAGAGGCATTTCAACCTCCCCTTAGCCACAAGTATGGCTTCCACACCAGCAGGGGTTTTGAACCTGAGACCTCCAGTTTTTAATTTGATGGAAGCCTTGCAATCCGCTCTTTACCACTGGGCCACCAGCTCGTGGTTAAGCGGTTCAATGTTTGATAACTTGTATTTCTGAAAGTGATCAGAGTATGGAAAGATTTTTCAGTGTGACTGGAACACGGGATGATACAATACGTGTCACTATACAAATGGTGGGATATGTGTGTTGAAAAGTTAATAACTTAAAAATTAAAATTTTCCACCACTTATATAAACACACATGTACCACCGGTGTTCCGGTCACAAAGAAAAATTTCTCCAGAATATGAAAGTTAGTATAAATGTATTTGATAAATTTTAATGTCAAAATGATATAATTGTATACAACAAAAAAAGTGGACATGATAGTAAGGGTGGTGGTGATGACAACGGTAGTGTTGGTAGTGGCAATGGTGGGGATATGGTGGTGGAGTCAATAACAAGGCATGGCGGTTGAGGTGAAAAGGTAGCAGTGGTGGCAACAACAATGATGACTACTGTGGTGGTGATGACATCGTCGGTGGTGATGACATTGTCGGTGGCGATGGTGGTGACAACCATGCTGATGGTGATGGATGGAGTTGTGTAAGGTTGGTGCTTGCCGTCATAACTGGTGGTGTTGTTGATGGTGGTGGCGGCAATTGAGCTGGTGATGACAGTGGTGATGGTGGTCTTGATTGTGGTGGTGGTAGTCATGGTGGCAATTGTGGTTGTGGCAACGATGTTGGTGGTAACGGTGGTGGTGTTGGTGGTGGTGTAAGGTTAGTGAATGGTAGATGGTGGTTCTTTAATAGTGAAAATGTATGAAAATGATAAATTATTACATAAATATTGATTAATGTGCTTATTTCTGTTGGTGATATATCATTTGATTTGTATATTTTGAAATTTTGTTTTACTTAGCATAACCCATTTTTTTAAATATTTATTAAAAGCTCAACTATGCTTTTTATGAAAGCAACTTTTCAAAAGCAACTTACGTGATGCTTTTAAAGTTGCTGCATGTAGGCCGTTACTTTTAAAATAAACATAATATTTTTATTTTTATCAAACACTTTTTATTGTTTAGATTTAAAGTGAATCAGCTTTTGGTTATGAAAAATACCAAAAGGGGCCTAAATGCGGTGGCAATTTGCCACTTGTTACTACAATTTTATTTCACAAAAATGTGTTCGTGGTAGTTTGAAGTTTGAACTCTCGGGTTGAGGTCTCCTCCTCCTCCACCTCCTCGGTTAGCCAGACCAGTCAGTCCTCATCATTGAGTGGGTGCGCGTGAGGAGTGAATGAGTGAGTAGTTCTATCCTCTCGGCCACGTCTCATCTCGTTCGGGGCTTGAATTTCAATTTCAATTAGAATTTGAATGGTGCCGTCGAGATTGAGACTATATGGAGAGTAAGCAAACCTCTTATAAGTCTATGCAAAGTCTTTCTTCCCATCAATGTGGGATTCATTCTCAACATATCCGTCACATGTGGCGAATTTTCGAGCCTAACAAGTGGACAACATAATGGGGTAACATGAAGCACATGTGGCTGTTTGGCTTCACACGTGGGACAACCAGCTCCGGTACCATGAAGAAAGTTGAGGTTCCACCATAAAACCAATTGACAATATGGGGAGTAACCCAACCTCTTATAAGTCTATGCAAAATCCCTCCTCCCATCAATATGAAACTTATTCTCAACAGCTGCCTCATCGTTTCTGTTGCTCATCTTGTATTATACCATAGCTATAGTAAATGTCATTTACTAATCTTATCAGATTTGAAGAAGCAGTCACTTGTTATGAAATAATCATCGCAATGTTTTATACCTGCGGATACTGATACTGATACTGATTATCCTAACAAACTTTTTCGACGGGCCGTCTTGGGTTGAGGGTAATCTTAGTTGTTCGAAAAGCCAATCAAAATCCCTCATTCACACAAGTTTAATTAAGATATTACGATGCTAGATTTTATTTGTGTATGTTAGAATAGTTTGCTTAATTGGAGGACTAGATCCTGCAAAGTTATTTAGGGCTTTACTGATTTACACCCGCCTACTGCATACGCTGCTATTGCCCTGTTAAGGTTTTTCCTTCTCTCTCTAGCTATCGGCAATTACCTTCAATTTCCTTATCCCCGCTGCATGCTAGCTTTGCTGTTACTACTCTGTTTATCAGGTGGCACGATGTGCTTGTACTTGAATGATTAAATTCAAATTCAGAGGTCACATATGTTAACGAAACTGCCAAGAAATAAAGGCAAATTGGAGCTCAAGAGCATCAGGATACAGGAAGAGTCAAGGTTAAGGTGCAGAAAAGATGACCAAACATCAAGACATTGTCCCATCTTTGTACTACTTCCGGTAGGGTAGGGGGTGTCTACAAGGTTTAGGATAGTTTAAACTTTATTTAGAAATGATGGATTAAGAAGAATATTAGTCTCTATCTCCATTCCTCTTTCTTTCTTTCTCTCACTCTTCCGCTTCTCGTTACTGGTTGTGCATCAGGGACATGGCCAGAATTCTTAGAAATAATTCGAATTTGAGTAAATACTGAGTCAAAAAGATGGGAAATAGTATTATGGACATTTGAAAATTTATACTGGTAGACCAACCTCTCTAACCAATACAGACTCTGGTCCATTGAGGCTATTTGTGTCACATCCTGACCCAGGGCCCACCACATTCTGGACCCGCTCCACCACTGTAGCACAATATTGTCCACTTTAGCACAATATTGCCCACTTTAGGACCCGACCATGCCCTCACGGTTTTGTTTCTGGGAACTCAGACGAGAACTTCCCAGTGGGTCACCCATCATGGGAGTGTTCTTGCACGCTGCTCGCTTAACTTCGGAGTTCCCATGGAATCCAAAGCCAGTGAGCTCCCAAAAGGCCTCGTGCTAGGTTAGGATGAGAATATACACATAAGGATCATTCCCATGGACGATATGGGATCTAACAATTTGAGGTGCCCTTGGGTTGACCAAAATATATTGGCCAGTCAAGACAATGTAATGAGGATGAATCTCCTCCCCATTTGGTTTTGGAGAGCCTATGACATATGTATCAAGTGGTGGACGCCTAATTCTTTTGTTGCTGTGAAATAGCATTTTGTTCTTGCTATTAATGTTATTGTTAACATTGTATCGAGATGCTTATTGAAATACACACTAGCCCTGCTAAAACAAATATGACTTTGGCTTAAAGTAGACAGTAATTCAGGGCGTATGAAGATTGGTAAGATTTCTTGTTGGAGTGAGGCATGTGTTGGCTCATTGTGAACCTATGAAGAAGTCTGACCGTTTGTATTGCGAGGGTTTCAGTGTGTCATGGTGGATGTAGCCAAAGAAGTATATATCTTGCTGTTTTTGTGTTCTTGTTTTCTATGTGGATTGTGTTGTTTGCGCTTTGAATTATTTTTAGTTATTGAACTGTTTGACTGTCAATTGTCAGAGCTATGAACACCAGTCAATGAAGCCCTCACTCCCTTGCAATCAGTCCTTATCAAATGGCTTAAATAAAAGGAATATAACAACTTGATCATGTGTGCACTATAAATAAATATGCTTGAGTAAATTAGTACATCTATCTATAATCAAGCCAGTCCCCAGAATTACGTCTAAAACATTGATATATGCTTGAGTAAACTTCTACACATATAATATAAATATTATAGATGTAAAGTTTTCTCAAGCCAATTGTAACTTATAATCTATGTATCCATCTATCAATCTCCCGTGATTATTCTGCATATGTTCCACTATCTATCTTAGTGCTTCTTCCTGTATATGTTCCATCATCGATTTCCAGTGCTCCTTCAGTATTTCAATTTTCACTATTGTAGGTAGATGATGTTCCCCTTAAAGATGTGCATGGTGTTATCCAGAATTACAATATTTGTATAGTGAAGATCATGAAGTTAGATTCAGATCTTCTCTCCCGTGCAGAAAAGATGAAGCTTGTAATGCAGTATGGTGTCGGCCTGGAAGGTCATTTTCATGTGTTTCAAATTGTTATAAAAAGAGCGTTTGTCTTAGGTGTCTATATTTACAATTTAAATTTATTTGCTGTAGCCGTTGACATTGATTCTGCAACTAAGTTTGGAATCAAAGTTGCTAGAATTCCGAGCCATCTAACTGGAAATGCAGCCTCATGTGCCAAAACGGCCATTTATCTGATGTTGGGCCGCCTACGAAAGCAAGTTAGGCTTAAACTTATTTTTAATAAACTTTTTTATTTAAATTTTTATTACCCTTATGATATTTCAAATTTTTTTTCCTAGGCATCATAGTGTTGATTCTGTTGAATGCTTTCATCGTGTCATATCCTTTCAATTTGATCATTCAAGGGGCCTCACCAATTTTTGCCTTTGAATTTGGTCATCGCTTTCTGTACAAAGTTGTGAATGTCTGTGTTTGTATTCATCTCTTAAGGAGGGTTTAAACAGTTGTAAGAGTTGCCAGGCGGTAGCTAAACTTAAAGAATTTACATAAAGAAAGTAATCCTACAGCTAGCAATACGAAGAATGTAGACATAGTTGACTATGAATTGATGATACAATTAACCCACCAGTACTAAACATCAAAGTACAGTCCAAAACTATTAAATATGCATGAGAAAATCTAAGAGAGTGCCGCCTTCCTGTTTGCGTGTACATCCTGAAATTCCAACGATATTGATACCTACAGTGATATCCCAAATCTAACTGTGTATCCCATAACCCCTCCAATTCCACCTCCTAAAGATCTTCCTAAACCGTGTTTTTTATTTCCCTCCACTCCACATTAGCCAGACAATAGCTATCACACAAGAAGTCCACATTATTTGGACCTTTTTCTTCTCCACAAACAAATTTATTTAAATTACTGAAGCTTTGTTAGGAAAATGGTTGTTGAGATTAACCTCGGAGCACAATTCTTTCCAGTTTGAGAGTAAGTTTTGAGTGAAATATAATCAGTAGAACTCCCAGATTTCGTAGAAGGGTTCGTTTTATTATCCTTTGAAATATTGCCCTATTTCTTGTTATTATTCTCAATTATCTATCTTTGGAGGGATGTCTGGTATGGTGATGATTCCTTCTAATCATAATGCAGTTGTGCTGTCTTGCTTCCTTTGATTCTTCTCAGACTATTTCTTGAAAATTAACATTTTGGATGGATTTAAGTGTATAAATAATTTTGTGAAATTCATCTTCGCACACTATCTTTTGGCATCTTCATGTCATGAGATCTATTATGTTCGGACGGAATTTTATGAAATATTCTCTTCTGTTCACACTCATCTTGATTGGTAATTTGGTTGTGAGCTATAAGATGCTAGTCATGTATATATTGCAATATTTCTGGCTTTTCTTGCAATTTATTTCCTATTTTATTTAGTAAACATTTGTTGTTCCATATCAAAAGTATATTCAGTGGCTCTGTTGAATTTAGTTTTTTTTATTTTATTTTATTTTTATATTCTTGTCTGTTCATTTTATCTGTAATTTTTCTACCATCGTAGAATGAGATGCAAATTTCTGTAAAGCTGAGGAAGGCTGGGGATCCAATTGGTGAAACACTAACTGGAAAAACAGTGAATCTCTCCTCTCTCTCCCCACCCCCCCAAAGTTTTTTTTTCCCTCTTTTTAGCGGTTTTCAGATAGAAACTTTCTAGAATGCAGATTGCAGTTCTAGTGTTTTTCTTTTTACTCTTATTATTTTTCTTATGAGTATGCTCTTCTGCTCGAAAGTTTAGATACTTTACAGATTGAGAAGATCTGGAGGTTATGCTTAGCGCTTTGCAACTTGAATTGTTGGTTTACTCATGTTCAAGTCAGTTTTTAAACTGGAATTTCTTTGCTAATGCATGCAGGTTTTCATTTTAGGATATGGGAACATTGGAATTGAATTGGCAAAGCGCTTGAGACCGTTTGGTGTGAAAATTATTGCCTCCAAACGGAGGTGGGCCACAGAGTCACAGTATTCTTGCCTTCTGAATTTTCAGTTCAAAATTGTTCCGCCGAGAATTTGGTCGATGAGAAGTGTGTCCATGAAGATATCCACAAGTTTGCAAGTAAAGCAGACATCGTTGTTTGATGCGTGCGTTTAAACAGTGAAACAGTAAGATCATTGGTCAATTTTATACCATGTTTTCTGCAATGCACGATGATTGTTCATGTTGCACTTGCACCTTCTCCAGCACTGTGTCAATATGTCCAAATATGTTTTTCATTACGTTCACTTGAGATCCAAATTGTGATCATTTGATATGGGGCAAAGACTGGTCTGGTACAAATTTATGTGGTTTCGTGAGAGATTGCGAAGGAAGAGGACAAAATAGAAACCAATAGGCAAAGATAAAATGCTGATAAGAGCACAGATCATCATGGTCCATTCATAAGTTCACAGTTTAAAAAGTTTTGATGTCTTCGTTTTCTCCCTCTTGTTTTGTTTCCCTCTGAACCTCGTATTTTATTTTCTTCATTCTCTTCCTCAATCTCCGTTCTCTCTTATTTTCTCTATTCTCCATCTGCTGCATCTTCTGTTTTGTATTCTCTGGCTCAGATGTTGGTGATGTTGCTGTATGCAATCTGTCTGCTGCTTGTTAATTATGCCCTTAAACACAACATCTATACTTTTTTTCCTTTTTCTATTATAATTTTTAGTTATGCATATAGCAAGAATTTGTCAAATTAGATTTCCAAAATTGAATTGCGTTGTATGTGAGATGGAAGTCGATATGAATTCAATTCCACTGTAGAAGATTCAGTGATGCTCAGTTGTCTGACTCCTACTTTTGCATACCTTGTGTTTCAGGTTGGCATTGTAAACAAGTCGTTCATATCTTCGATGAGAAAGGTTGGTTTCAATCCACTGTTGTTTGTTTGATAATCATATTTCATTTGCAATGACCGAATCATATTAGCAAATATATGATGTGTGAGTTTGTAAACACAAGCTTTACAACCATATATGTGTGTAATATGTAGAATTTCCAGGAGCCTTTGGTGCGATTATCCCAAATCCTAACGACTTAAGCTCTTGCGAATGGTGGTTAAACCAACAAACTTATTGATTGTTTCAGAGTAGGAGATTGAGTTTGGGTCCCTCCGTCCCTGCAACTGGAATATTTAAGCATAAGTTGAACTTTATATTAGGCTTTAGACTCGTGGTACAAATAGAATATGAAAGCGCAACGCCAAAAGGGTCTAGTTGGAACCTCCCAAGATAAGTTGAATTTGACAAGTTGGGCCGTAAAGGCAAACCAACAGCCTTTATCATTTCGTCAGAGCAGTCAAAACATCCGCGTTTTAATGTCAGTTCTCCACGTGCGCTCAATATTATTACCCAATATAATTTGTGTTTGGCTTATTCAGCCATACATAAGGCCATCTCCAATTAATCCGGTTAGAGGGACATAGAACCAAAAATTGTCTTAAATAACATGAAAATTGTCTCCAACCGTAGGCTAGGCCAAAGGGCTCGTGAGCCCCATCGGGCCACAAAAGGAGAATCGGACCAACCGGCTCGCCCAAACCAACCAACCAGCCAGTCCTGATCAGTCCAAAGGTTTGAATCCCAACAGCTAATTGCTGACATCATGCTGATGTCAGCTAGCCATTATTTGATTTTTTTCTTTTCTTTTTGTACAAAAAAATTTAAAAAAAAAATAAAAATTCTATTATTTTCCTTCCTATCACTACCTAAGCCATTAAACAATATAAAACTTATACAACATAAAAAAAAAAAAAAAAAAAAAAAATTAACAACATTAAAAAAAAACATTTAACAACATAAAACTTAAACGCCTAATCCATGCTTCTTTTGGCCCAAAGATGTGCAACAAGATCCTGTTGTAGGTATTTGTTTGTGGCACGGGAACGTATCATCCTATGACGCCTCATGTACTCATTTAAAGAGATATTACTAGTTCTTAGATTTAAAGGCAAATTAGGCCCATCATATCTTTTTGCACTAGCCGTTCTTGACCTATTTGGATCCTATTGGTTGTCATCAAACTCTCCATCAATATACCCATGTAACATTATTAAGATTCCTTATTGACAAGAAATTATTGACATTCCATCTCGAAAAATGATTGAGGTAGTTTAATTTAGGGTTAAACTCTGTTTACTATCCTAAAGTTTTGTGGTTTTCAACACTTAGTACATCAAGTTTTTTTTGTCTCAGAGTCATACCTAAAGTGTAAATTTTGGGACAGTCTCGTACATCTGTTAGTCAAAGTGTAAATTTTTTCGTCGGCTTGCTCCAAGTAGTCCTTCTGTGTTTCAACAGGTTGGAAGTGAGTTTTCATGATTAGCTGTTTAGCAGTAATCAATATAGAAACACTCACAAGTGAAAAGGAGGACTAGATAATTGGTCTACTACATTATGTGAGTGTATAATCATAATTGTTTCCCTACTGCAACACTACAAAAATTAGCAAAATCAATAATTTGAAGATTTAGTTTTGATCACAGTAATGTTTTATTGGATTTATATCACATGTCAACTGATTTTTGCCCTCTTAGAAAACTAACTTTACCATTTAGCCGTATGGATGGAATACAAAAATGATGTAAATTTTTTGTAACCTCTTTGTTTTTAGTGCATTGACTTCTTAAGTTTAACCAGAAACTAAATTGAAATAAAGGGTAATGTTAAGGAGACCATCTATTTAAATCTTATTTTGTAAATCATATTACATGATTGTTAATGAGTAGATTATTACTTAAATGTTGATTGCTAATATGATAATATCAAAATAACTTTTTGACCAATTTTCTGCTTATCAATCCATCTGCTTATCTCAATTATTGTTGGAATCCCCAAATTATATGATTCCTGACATGCCAATTCATTGAAATTTCACATAAATGATTATTTTCCACAACATAAGGGTTATATTTATGTAATTTGACGTGCTATATTTCAAAGTAGAAACATACTCAACTGAAATTTTGGTTGTAGTGCGTGATTCATGTGCACAGAATGTTTATATGTACTTTTGTTTTATTTGCCTATCATGTGAATTGACAATGTTTCCCATTCATTTTTATGTTTAGGGAGAGACGAAAGAAGAACCCTACATTTGTAAGATTGTGGAAATGTTTGAAGCAATTGGTGGGCTATTATATTTTACTGCACAACGGTACTATAGGTCACGAGACACTGTAAGATATTTTGAAAGAAACCTTTTCATGATTCTCCTTCCAAATACTTTGTTTCATGGTTTTGTTACGTTAAAAAGTAAGAATCCTGCTATTGGGCGCTGAATTATTAGTTTTTTGCTTTCTTGTATGTCATAAAGCACTGTGCTAGTGTTGCTTGTGGGCGTGTATTTATTTCAGATGTCCGAGACGACAACCCTCTGGATTATCTTGTTGAAAAACTTCATATTGTTAGGCTGACACTAAATGTATGCTTGAAGTTTCCATATTCATGCTTTTTTAGTTGTTCATGAAGTCCAACATGAATGAGTTATCCTTTTTCTCTCAGGTTGATCAAGATGCGAAGAGTAAATCAATTCCAGTGTGCAATTACAATTGCGACACCAAGTATTTGCTACCGTATTCTACTTTTGTCAATCTGCGAACAGGATATTGTTCTCTTTCTACTTAGATTTGGTTTGGTACTAAAGTGATTCTGAAAAAAGCTGGTATCAAAAAAACTTGGGAGCTGTTTTTGTGTTTGGTAAACATTTAGCTTCAGTTTTTTTTCACAATTTTGGGTGAAAAAAAAAGCCAAAAACAAGAAGCTGCAAAACCCAGCTTTGAAAAACCGGTTTTTTTTCATATCTATTTTACATAAAAGTTTACCAAACACTATAATACTGTTTTTTTTTTTCAAAAGCACTTTTACAAAAAAGTTTACCAAACATTTTGCTGTTTTATTTCACAGCTGCTTATTCTCACAGCACAGCAGAAACAGATTTTTTTCAAAGCACAGCAATACCAAGCTAGCCCTTACTGTCATGATGCTGGTTTTTTCTTTCTTTCATTTGCAAGGTTCCTATGTGTTCACATGTTATTTCTGGTTTTGAAAGTTCAGAAAATATATAGTCTGGAAGCGATGACTCAACTATCGCTGTTGAGGATGCTGTTTTGTTTGGATAGTGAGGTTGATTCAAAGCTGCCAAATGGAGTGTGTACGAAATCAGAAGGAAGGCTCCTGGACCTATATTTGGGGGTTGTGGAGCGATGTCTACTGGCCTGTGGCTTGGTGCGCATTTGGCCAATATCAATCTTGTTACAGTAAGTTCCTCTTTCTTAATTTATTTTATGTTAATCTTTTGACATCGATTGAATAGACGTGAAGGCAAAGCTTGATATTGTTTCTTGTTTATGTCGTTTAGATATGGGCTGTTGACTACAATGGATACGCTTGTAAGAGTCTAGAACAGAAGTACAGAACCATCCAGAGACAGAGGTTTGTGTTTGTATCCTACCATTTTCCTCACCTTTGATGTGGTGCTTTAATTTTTCTTTTTGTATAATTTATTGTCCAATTCACACATCAGGTCCGAAATGAAGCTGCTGAAGATTTCCTCAAAATGCTCAAGGAATGGAGAAAGTTGTGCATCTGTTTAAAGTTGGTTGAGACTGGCAATTTAGAGGCGGATGTCGAGAAGAGTATGCTTGAATTCTTTCGGAAGGAAGATGAGGAAGAGGAAGAAGAGGAAGAAAAGGAAGAAAATGTTGGAGGAATGTTAAGGATGATTCTGAAATTTTTGAAGTTGATTGCGTAGGACGAGTATGTTTTGGTGACCCCGAAAAAAAATGAGAAAGGAATAAACTTAAAGGTATGAACTTCGAAATTTATAAATGCATGTTCTTTAAATATTTATAACGATATAGTATGCGAGTAAATGGTTAATGCAAATCTAAATTCATTAGTTCCTCATGCAAAATTTGCTTGCCCCTTGTGATGTATGTAGATTTATTGGAAGGGCTACAGGCCTGACGAAGACACCTGGGAGCCAATGAATGAATTGGAGTCTGCAACTATTCTTATTTACGCTTGCAGTATTATCCGTTGCATGTTTTGTATCATTTATGTACTGTGATGTTGTAAACTAAAGCTCATGTTTTTCTGTCAAACAGGCATTGTAAGCAGGTTATCGAAGACTTTATTACTGAAGGTTACATATGATATACACATGTTTATCATGCACCGTGGTTATTTTTCGTATCGTGAAAGTTTTATGCTTCCTGGTATTATTGAACATATAATTACGGGTTTGACATAAAGTTGAAGTCATAAAATGAATAATTTACTTCAAAATGCAAAAATGATCCTACTTTCATATTCAGAGAAATTGAAATTTGTTCCTAAAATGGTTGGAAAAAAAAAATCAAATTGCATGTTTTGATTTGGTTAGAGCAAAAGTACTAATAATGTGTTACATATGAAAACAATTTGAGAGAATGAGTGAATTTTATTTGAGAGTTTATAGGTGTGAGGCATAATCATCTTTATATTGTAGTGAGGCAACTATCTTGGCAAATTACACAAATCCTCCTAATTCAATAGGGAGAATCAATTGCATGATCTAGTAAGGAAAATGACAGATTCATTTGAAGAATCCATAGCTTAAGGTTCCAATAGTTATGTCAAATTAGTGGACTGGCATAAATGTCCTGCAACACTATGTTAATTTTCAAATTTTCAAGTCTTTTTTACCAGAAAAAAATAAGTGAGAAGACAAATTGATCGATTAGAGAAGTAATTTGCTTAAGTGTTGGGTGCATGTTACTCATGACTTGGTCAATAAAAATGAGATGACGGCGCTCCAAACGTGGAAGAGATTCATGCACAATTCCTCAAGTAGATCCAAGGCACATCCAGGACCAAACATGAAAAAATGGAAAAAAAAAAAATATATATATATATATATATATGAATAGGAATCGCCTCACCTAACATGTGAAGTTGCACAAAAATAAGTGCTATTTTAAAGTGAATAATAAGGTCAATTTAAATGTCATTGCTCTTGTCCTCCTAAACCAGGTGGAAGTTATCAAACCAAAAGAAAGAAAACCCCAGGTGGAAATATTCTCCCCAATCACAATCCAACTTTGTCCCGTTCAATTCTTATAATATTAACAAAAAACTCACAGCACTGTTCATTTTAACGAAAAACCACATTTCAACACTAAAAAATCAGTCATGGTACTATTCACTTTACCCTTTATTTTATCCTTATCGTTAAAAGTCAGCTTTCAAGTCATTTTCATTAGCTTTCCTTGTAATATTTGACCTAGGGAATCTTAGTTTGATTTTTTGAAAGGGAATTGTTATTAGCACTCCAAAAATCTCATTTGGCACTCCAAACTTTCTATAATTAGAAAGAAAAATACACCCGTGAGAAGTTTAAAATAAAATTTTTGAAGTGCTAATAACAGTTTTCTTTTGAAATGAACCCTTTTTTAACACATGTTGAGCTACGTACATTCCAAATTCCGTGCGGTTTTTAGTGGTTTCCAATTGATTTGTGCATGTTTTGCATCATCCATTTTGCCAATACTTCATCTGTCATCCTATTTTAAAGAAAAACTAATGAAAAAGGTATAAAAACTTTGAGTTTTAACGACAAGGACAAAATAATGGGTAAAGTGAATAGTATTAAGATTGATTTTTTAGTGTAAAAATATGATTTTTCGTTAAAGTGAACAATACCGTGAGTTTTTTTTTTTGTTAAAACTCTCTACTTTTTAAGCATCATTACTTTGAAAACTTTGTGAAGAAAATGTTATAATATTTGATTCACCTCCGGTTCTTCGGACGCCAATATAATATTTCATCCACCATCATATATTGTAATTGAACTAATTCCCTCTCCTGTTCAATTCTGGGGTTGTCTTCGAAAATATTTCAATTTTGAGGGATCCTACGTAATATCTCTTAAAACCCAAATAACTGAAAATATGTCCTTGGTTGTTAGAAATAATTAATTAATTATATTAATTACCAGGTAAGTTCCTACACACATGGAAAGAAGTATGATGCATGATTCAGGTCTCATTTGATATTGTTGTACTTTGAAAAAAAAATATTTCTGCTGTGCTTTGAGAATAAGTAGCTGTGAAATAATACAGCAGAGTATTTAGTAAACTTTTTTCGTAAAAGTACTTTTGAAAAAAAAAAAAGTAGTATTATAATGTTTGATATATTTTTATGTAAAACAGATGTGAAAAATTTTTCAAAACTAGTTTTTGCAGCTTTGTGTTTTTTGTTTCTTTTACACCCAAAACTGTGAAAAAAAAGCTAAAGTTGAATGTTTACCAAATATAAAAAAGTTGGGAACTTTTTTTTTATAACTATTTTTTTCAGAATCACCTCAGTACCAAATTAAGGCTCACTCTGCATCTCCAATGATGTCATACACCAAGACAGAGTTTCAGAGGCCTATCCGACTAAAAAGCAATTTGCCTTTCAAGTTCGTGATATATGATTCAACGGAATTGCAAGTACTGCTTGGCAACAGTCATCAATTTTCATTTAATATTGTTTTGGACGTTTTCTAGTTTCTTGCTTTAGTCAGTGGTTTCCAAATCAACTTCCAAAAAAGTTACAAATAATTAATTTGCAGTGGTGTGACATCAACTTCAAAAATCTTTTTGCCACTTAATATTATGGTTTAATAATTTTTTTTTTTTACTTATAAGTAAGATATATTAGATTCGACTCTCGTTAAAGATGAATTTAAACCATATTATTGCTTGTCCATGGTGAGGTTATGCACATTCTCCCCACTTAATGTAGATACTATCGTTTGTTAAAAACTATAAACTATCATTTCCTTCGTGCGATTTAGCTAACAGATAAACACGTTAAAAACTATAAACTATTCTAAATATATGAGTGACAATAATGATAATATTGCATTACCATGTTGCACGCATTATCTAGGCGACATAATGGAGAAGAGACTGTGACTCTTCTATTACATTACGGAGAAGTTCATTCTCATATGGGATCAATGCCTTTTACTTTAGCCAAGGAAAGCGGGTCAGTTGATTGGCATTTCACGCACTATATAGGTGATGTAATACTTCACGCACCATCTACCACTTCAATCGCCGCGTCTATTTCGAGGAATAGTCTTTGAGAATATTTCACAATTGTGAGCTGTCACACAATATATTAATGAAAATACGATAAAATCTAAAGAACTGAAAATATGACTCTGCCTCCTCCACAATGACCTTACTCACCTAAACCCTTAATGATTATGATTCACGTAAGCAAAGTCCTTAATTTTTAATTTATTTGTGGTTGCTTATGGAAAAAACCTAAACAAAGCAAAAAAGAATATATGATGGTTGCCGGCAAATATTAAATATATATGATTGCAACCACAAATCATATATTTATGTATATAATTGGAGCCGGCAAATATTAAATGTAACCTGAAAATATATATTTACGTATATATATGATTTATGATTGTTTGTGTGAACGAATAAACAAAAATCTTTCTTAATTTCTAAATCTGCCACACCGAATAGATCCATATTTAAAGTGAAGCGATTGAATATTTGTTTTGTTCGAATGAAGATTGATCATAGAAAATGCATCTACCATCCAAATGAACTAAGAGACTCAATCACATGACAAAATGTCTAGGGTATTGAGCAAGAACTCTAATCATGGCGTACGTGTATGTAATTTGGGGGCTGTTTAATTCCTTCAAATTCTCTGTATATCACAATGGTGTATTGATGCATTAAAATTTTAATCGCATTTTATCCTTTAAGATAATTGCATAATAGGCTAAAAAGAGAATTCATATTAATAATTTAAGTTAGGTGTAGATATATGATATAATAAAATTACCCTTTCATTTATTGTAAAATTGACTAATTTGTCAAATTAAAATAAATGGCTAACTCACAACAATATCCAGTGTCAAGATTCCAAGACATGTCAACGCCATGCATCACAAAGTGACCCTTATTAATTAAATATAGAATTTGCTTTTTTTAAATTACTAGGTAAGTTCCCAGACATCTGCCATTTCTCTCTTTTTGCCTGTCTATATATCTGCATGCAAACCATTTCCTGAGCATTCAAATACCACTTCCATTCAAACCATCAAATCTCACAAACCATATCACCATCAAGTACCTCTACATCCCGATATATCTCCATCTCTGCCTACCTTTGTGCAGAATAAAATGAGTTCTGTTGTTAATACTGCTTGGGATCGGTACTTAAAGCCTTTTCTCGTTGCAGTTACAGTATCGCCAACTCAACGGCTCAAACTTCTGATAATTGGTCCCATCGATCGAGATCGCAATTCCCATCATGACCTAGAAGCCGCAAGGCAACAAGTTGTAGACAAGAGGACTAACAGTAAGTACGACAACAACAACTTAGACTGGGCAACGATAATCGTAGTGTTTTGCTTGACAACGGCAATTGGAATAGCACTTCTTCCATTCCAAGGTCCCTCTGGCCAGCTCCATCTCCCTGTAATATTTTACTTTCTTGGACTCTCAGTCATACTTGCCTTCACTTGTATCTTGTTAAGCAAGTTTATTCACTTCAACTACTGTCCCGGCGGAATAACAATCGCCCCGATTTTCCATCAATTTGGCCTCTTCTTTGGCGTCACAGCCTTCTTCATATCCATCTCCATACCATTTCCTTTGTGGTTCAAATGTGCTGCCTTGTCTATCTACGTTGTCACCTTCCTCCTTGTAGTTCTTTGCAATCTTCACTTCAATAAATATTACAAAATTCATGGTTTTAAGTACCCTACCCCTGCCATTGATCCTACGGCAGAATCATGCGGAGGCAGTGCTAGTACCATTGATGATCAAGCATGCACCAATAGTATGACGTGAAAAAACTGTCATGTAACGAGGATGTGTGTGTAAGTATACACAACACACACACACACACATATACTGATTAGTGCACTGCAGTACTAGTGGCTTCCTCATATTTGTCGTAGGTTTTTCAAATGTCAACCGTTGTTTATTCTATTTAGGGTTTAGTTGTCTCAAGCCTCTCACTAATGCTATGTTTCAACAAATCTAGTTAATTAATTTGTTACTTCTAGATATTTCTTTTAGTGAAAGTATTTGTGTCCACCATTCATAAGTGTTTAGAGTTATCAAACTTGTATATATTTCCTTTTACTGCTTGTGATCACCACTTAAAGC